ACTGGGTATATTAATTATTTTCATTGAAATGACTTGAATACTGATGCTGCTGTCTGATTATGCATGTACATTAAAGTTGTATTATCTGTTAAACTTATCTGAAATCTTTAACACATATGTAGCCAAATAAATCATGACATGAAATTACTAATTATGGTGTTTGTGAGTTGTGCATGTCCGAATCAGACTGATTTATATTTTATCTGGAATCCCTGAAATGCCAGAAATGCAACAATATTTTGAATCCTGCTTTGAAACACAAGTAGCCTTAGGAAGCATGAAATGTTCCACAGTGAATGTTAGCTTGTACACACTTGACAATGGACGATTCAAGTTCTTGTATAAACATGTATGAAATTATAGGAACAGAATAGAAAGATATAATGAGTGAGTGTTCATCAAACAAATCAAATTTTGAAAAATTAAGAAGAATGCATTTAGAGATAATAGTTTCACATGGGAGTCAACAAATTTGGCAATTCTCGAAGGTGCTGAAAACCTGATCACATATACACAACTAATTCCATAACTAATGTGGCCACCTCCAACACTAATAATGATTCATCCCTGCATGTACATGTGTTAATATTGAAGTGCTAGAATGTAATTCAGAGCTGTCACTGGCTAGTCAGTTGCCTTCATACTGAACTTGCTTGCACATGAGGCATAAATATTTTAGTCAGTTTGTTTTCCAAAATTGATGTACATTTTCTGTCCCCACCAAACTGGATGAATGGATTTTATATTTGATTAGTACATGTGTGATATACTAAGTATCACACAGGTATTTTTAGACAAGTCGACAGCGGAGCTTATTATATGAGTGATTGTCCGTCGTCGTCCGGTGTCTGTGAAAATTCTTATTGCTTTGATACTTGGTGTATATGTACCTTGGGCAGAACCTTTCTCAAACCTCTCTTGTTCATTTTGTGACGATATCTTCAATTCTCTAATTTTAATGAATATTTTTGTCTTTTTTTTGTAAAAAGTGATATTTTCGACTTGTTAAAAACAGCGATTCCGATTGCTTTGATACTATACATATTGTTCATTTTCTAATGATATCTTCAGTTCTTTAATTGAAATGTGCATTGCTAACAGCGGAGCTATCTCAGCCGACAGGCTGCTTGTTTTTAATTATCTGAGTCTGGCCAAAAATAGGCCAAAAAATGCTGAATATGTGTGCAACATCATAACTCTGAAACGCTTTGACGGTTTTTCACAGAATACACTGTATCACTTTTAGATTAGTGCATGTTAAGTATGATTTTGCATCAAAAAATCTTTTTCGGTCTTTTGGCCAAACTATAGGGTGAAATATATATACAAATGTAGGTAATAAACATTACATGTATTGACACAATTTTACAATCGGAGTGTATAAGTGTGTCATTTACTCCTTGAACCATTTATGTAGGGGCTTTGTTATTCACTTGATTACTTTGTCTTAAAACTGCTTTTGGTTTAATTTTTCATGAAAATTCAATTTTGAATAAAATTCTTTCAAAATGCATGTATGCTTTGCCCTAAAAATTAGTAACCGTTCAAATTTTGGTTTTAACACAAACAACAAAGAGGTTGAACCCAAAACATGACAAGCTGCGATGACGTCAGCAAGGTATTGTTTACAAATGTGACACACAAATTCGTAACTGACACACATGACAAACTTATAACTTTTCACCTATCAACCAATAAACATTTTTGTTCATTTGTGTATTTCAGATGACGATGACTCATCAATGGTTTTCAGGCTTTTTATGAAGAAATAAATAGTGCCGCTATTGGGACTTCAAGCATATCAATACCAATGGGCAAGTGCCTATCCAGCTGTTCTGAGCCTAGTCCAGCAGAGCAGAATGGTGGTCCAAAGAGGACAGAACAAACTCACTACCAAGCACCAATGACCACAGTACCTACACATCCAGCACCTGCACCAATTCGGGAAAGTTTAAGTAGCGTACAGAGCAGTGGAATGGAATACTATCAGAATGGGTCACATAAAAGACTAGAGAAGACAAAAATGCCGCCAATACGGAAAACAAGTAATGGTGTTGACAGTGGGAGGAGATCGTTTGTGCCTAAAACAGAATGTTCAGAATCCAAAATAAATCGGCTTTTTGATCATTATAAAGATGAAGATGAGGATTGTATCTTAGCAGAGGGAACAGAGAAATTCTGTCATGACCTCTGTGTTGATCCAACTGAATTCATCGTCTTAGTGTTAGCATGCAAGTTTCAAGCTGCAACAATGTGTCAGTTTACGCGAAAGGAGTTTCTTTATGGCTGCAAATCACTGAAGGTTGACTCAATCAAAGGTATCCAAACCAAATTTCCAGAAATGCTTGAAGAAGTACAAAATGAAGCCAAATTTAAAGATCTGTACAGATTCACATTTACGTTTGGGCTAGATATGGACGGTGGTCAAAGGTCACTACCCTGTGACATTGCTATTCCACTTTGGAAGTTGGTGTTTTCACACCGAGAACCCGCAATATTAGAGCGCTGGATAAACTTTCTGCAGGAAAACCAAATTCGAGGGATATCGAAAGACACATGGAATATGTTCTTGAACTTTACAGAAGTAGTCGGAGCAGATTTCACTGGATATGATGACAGCGAGGCGTGGCCAAGTCTTTTTGATGATTTTGTGGAATATGAACTAGAAAAAGAAAAAGCCTTACAGAATGGGAAACGGACAGATGACAGAAATTTACCAGTGTATTATTCATAACAAACTTGTATTTTTTATCATTCCTTGTATTTCATTGGCTGAGCACCAATAGAAGATTCCATCCTTAGATGAGGGGGTACAGCTCATAGCAGGTGGAATATAATGACTGTGCAGTATATTATATATTTGTATCTTATAACGAGACAGTTTTGCGTTCAAAAATTGTATTTGCTACAAATAAGATGTCTTTTGAATTAAAAATGAGCTGTCTTTGCAGTTACCACCAGCACTGTTTGTTCTGGTCTGCTAGCATTGTGGAAATTTACATCTGACTTATGGCAGCAATTCAGACGCTACAACCATTCATCACACGGTTATTATTAAGGGCTGTGAATGTATACAGTTAATTATTACTACATGCATCAACAACCTAGTTGAGAATTGGAGAAAAATCTTACATACATATGTGTAGGTTATTTGAACTAAATAACGCCCTCTGGTGGTGTTGCTGTAAAAATGCAGAGGGCGCTAGTCATTACCACATGTCAAAGTGTGCAAACCTCTGGTTTTGATATTTGTCAGAACATAGGTACAAAAACTCTACTTTCCAATGAAAAGAACTTTATTTTAGTAGAGTAACATTGTCTGTAAATAATAAGATCATTTTGATTATGAAAGAATGACAAAGAAACTTAATAAAGGTGATTCCAAGAGGTGTATATTATATCAATGTAATTTGGACATATCATATTGTAAAAATGCCTCATGCAGATAGCAACGACTTGCTGTGTGACCACAAAACACAACAATTGCAATACTTGTATGGCTTATTGGAATAAAATGTATTTTGTTAGTTTGTAGTGTTTTTAATACATTTTTATCTTTGCAGTTTGTTCTGCATGGGTAAATTATTTTAAATTAATTTTTGTTTTTCAATATTCAGTCAGCTAGTGATTTACATGGAGAAATATTTATTTAATTACAGCATATATAAGTGACCAAGAACTATAATTCCAGTTTTTATTTGGCCCAAATAAATTGATATGCATAAATATTGAATGGTTATCGATATATAAATATTGCAATAAAATAAATTTCCAGTGTGTATACCATGTTAATATTGCTGGGTTTTTCACAGAAATCAAAAGCTGCTGTCTTTTTGGAACATCAATCTAATACTACAGTTTCAATAACATAGATATTGCCATGTTTATTTTTATTGACTAGAAACTGCAAAGTGATATGTCTATCGAATTTACATGTTTTTGTGAGACTGTTCAATTGCAAATTTGTCATACACACAGTGGTACAAGTGCTATTTTATTTTTTTGAGTTAGAAAATATTGTTTTTTGTCTTAAAAGAATGTTGCTGTTTTTATGACTAATGTAATTTAGCATGCTTCCATGAACAGAGGGGTACATTGCACCCTGTGTATTTTTTTTGCTTTTGATTGTAGTAAAAGAAATTTTTTCATGAGTACAGACTAGCATATTGTATGTCCATGCTGCATGTAACATTAAAAGGCAATGCAAATGAGCACATTTAAAAAATGAGGTTAAAAGGCCATTTCATGTTAAAGAATGATTTCACATTACAGGGTCATGAGCAGAAAGTGTATAGGTGATATTTGCATGGATTGCAACAATAAACATGGTTCATGGTTCTTTAAATTTATTGCCTGCTTACATGTACATCATTCACCAGGATAATACCTATCCATGTAATTATTACTCATCTGATGACTTTCATCACGGGCCATATATGTCCTGTGACCTGATCACAGTGTAACCTTCATCAAGGGCCATATATGTCCTGTGACCTGATCACAGTGTAACCTTCATCAAGGGCCATGTATCTCTTGTGACCTGATCACAGAGTGACTTTCATCATGGGCCATGTATCTCCTATGACCTGACCGCAGAGTGATTTTTTTATCTAGTGCCATGTATTCCTGTGACCTGGCCGCAGAGTGACTTTCATCACAGGCCATGTATTCCTGTGACCTGGCCGCAGAGTGACTTTCATCACAGGCCATATATTCCTGTGACCTGACCACAGAGTGACTTTCATCAAGGGCCATGTATGTCTTGTGACCTGATCACGGAGTGACTTTAATCTAGTGCCATGTATTCCTGTGACCTGGCCGCAGAGTGACTTTCATCACAGGCCATATATTCCTGTGACCTGACCACAGAGTGACTTTCATCACGGGCCATGTATCTCCTGTGACCTGGCCGCAGAGTGACTTTCTTCTAGTGCTATGTATTCCTGTGACCTGGCCACAGAGTGACTTTCATCTAGTGCCATGTATTCCTGTGACCTGGTCGCAGAGTGACTTTCATCACAGGCCATGTATTCCTGTGACCTGGCCGCAGAGTGACTTTCATCACGGGCAATGTATCTCCTGTGACCTGGCCGCAGAGTGACTTTCATCACAGGCCATGTATTCCTGTGACCTGACCACAGAGTGACTTTCATCAAGGGCCATGTATGTCTTGTGACCTGATCACAGAGTGACT